GCTTCTGGCTTCTGTTCATTTAGTGGCAGTGGGAATGAAAGCCAGGACGCTGGACCTGCTCAGAATGTGCTGTACCACTGAGCTCTACCCCAGCCCTTCTTCTGGGTTTAAGAACGCTGTCTTTGTGCAGGTCAGAGCTCAGTGAGTGTTTTTCTATCAAACAAGCCCGTTCCTTCTATCTGCAGGATAAAGAAGATCTTGGAGCTAAATGTATCCAGTTCTTCCTTCTAACATTTGAAGACGCCGAGGCCCACAGAATAGGAGCCACATATTCGGGACTCTTAGACCAGTCTTCTTTCCTTTGACTTGGAGAACTCACTAGAAGGGTCGTATGGGAACGCAGCCTTAGAGACCTCTTACAACATCTGGCTGGGCTCTCTTGCTGGGATCCTGTTCTGTCTTTAGACTTCCAGGGAGATATATCTTCTTCTCAAGGTGCCTGGTACAAGACTTGAACCTGTGCGTCTGGACAGAACTGACCCCAAGGCGGCAGAAATCTCAGTTCAGACGCTGGTCCCTGTTCCAGACTCCAACTCCGGAGCTGGGTCTCTCTGAAGTATTCCTGCAGCTCTCATCACACAGAATCAAAGTCCTGTTTGTGTGTCTGTCCCCATCTAGGCTGTCAGCTCTCTAAGAGGGACCATAGCTATCTTGTACCTAACATACACCTAGTGGCTTATCCAGTGCATGGCACATAAGAGTTCCACAAGAAGTGTTTGTTGAATGAATGAATAGGAGGAGTTGGTCAGAGAAGGGTCCTGGAAAACCAGACAAGTGGTGCTTGGGTATCAGTAGGTCAGTGAGCGCCACTGCGGAAGAGAAATCAGACAGGAGTGCAGATGAGGGGAAGGACGGCAGTGGGAGGTGGAGGGGCCTTTCAAGCTCCTCAGCTCTGCTAACCTAGGAGGGTTTCTGAGTAGATGGCAAGAGGCGTTTCAGCCGTGCTGGGAACGAGCAGTGACTGTAAGTTCCTGGAGTCTCACGCAGTTCATTTGGAGGGAGAGAAACAGCTTGGCTAGAGGGGCGGACCGCTGAAGAGACGAGGTAGCTGGCCAAAGCTTTGAGCCTGGTTAGAGGTTTGTATTCGCGGCGGATCCAGCTGGAATAGGAGCCGGGGAAGGCCTGGAGCACAAAGCAAGGGGAGAGCCAGCCTCCCCCACGACCCCCCTCTGTTAGATGGAGACCCCGGGAGGACAGACCCTGAGTCCTCAGCGTTTTTCCAACCCTCCTCCAGGTGCCCAGGTGCTTAGGACCCCTGTGCAGAGTCCCTAAGGCGAGGATCTAAAGGGGCTGAGGCACCCTGCTGAGGACGTCGTGACAGGGATCGTGGGGCTCGCTCTTTGTCCCTAGAGGGATTTTCCCCCTCGGAAGGTGCTGTTAGCCTGAGAGGAGTACTCTTGCTGTCTCCAGTGTCGTCCTTCCGCGAACCCCTACGTGAACAAACTTTTGCCAGGGGTTGCTAAGCCAGATCTGACCACCAGGGGGCAAAAGAGCAGCCCTTAAGGTCAGCGTCCCTCCTTCCCCACCCACTCGCACCTGAGGCCAGAATAGGCGGTGCCTCACCTGGCTCCCACGTAGAGCAGGTGGCTCGGTTAACCCCTTCCTGCCGAATCTGCGGTGCCTTCCTCTGGCAGTCATTCACAGCGGAACGGGGGTCAAATTTGCCAGCGGGGAGAGGAAATTTAATCTCTAGCGCCTGGAGGCGCTAGAATAGAGGTTAAATTAGGGTTTCCAGGGACTCAGGTCCCGGTCCTAGCTGAGGCGGAGTAGCATTTCCCTGAGATGAGTGACAGCTCCTCTGGCTGCAAGAGGAGCAAAGGCTGCGGTCACCTGCGCTGGGGCCTCGGAGGCTGCACATAGAGGAGGTGCTCAGGCAGCTGCAGAGCCCAACCTCCTGGCTTCCCCATCCGTCAGGGCCTCGACCCCGTCTGCAAGGGGCTGGGAGGGTAGCAGAGTGCAGGAGGGGCGCAGAGCCTGGGAGCAGGGAGGGGGACAGTGACACCAAGCAGGGGAGCAGACTGGATTCTACCGCTGCCAGGCGCGGCTTTGCGGGTCGCTCCTCCAGGGCCCCGCGGCCTTTCAGGGCTCTGACCAGTCCAAGTTCCGGGATTGCGTTCCGGGCCACAAGGCGTTAAACTGTGGGTGGGAGTAGGGTCTGGAGTCCCTCCTTCCCTCCCTCCTTTCCTCGCAGCGTCACCACCTCGGAGTCCACGGGGGGGGGGGGCGGGGGCGCTGGCACGCAAGGAGTTAAGTCTGCCCGCAATCTGCAAGACTGGAGCCGGTGAGGGAGGAGGGGGCAGGCGGGGGAGCGGCGGTGAAGGGGGAAGCAGACTGCAGGGAGACAGCGCCAGGAACCCCCTCCCCAGGGACCTGGCCCCTGGGCCCCCAGCCCCAAAAGAGGCCCTGCCCTCCCCGGGGTCGTGCTCTCTTCTCCCGCCTTGCCCCCGCCCTCCAGCTTTGTGTCCCCAGGAGGGTGGGCTGCAGGATTTCCAGCCAAGCCTTGGCTGCCTGCTCAGTTTTTCCAAACCCTCCAGTTGGGAAAGGCGGGAGCCCTGTCAGGATAAGAGTCCCTCCCCCCCCTGCCCCTGCCAGCCCCCTCTCCCAGCCTCAGGTTTCCAGGTCCCGCACCTTTTTCAAACTCCTTTCCCTTTCCGACCCTGGCCCCCCGCACCCCCCAGCCCCACCTCTGTTGGCTCCCAGGTTCCAAGTTCAGGTTGGAGGGGGGCCAGGACGATCCCACAATCTTAGACCAGCGCTGGTAGAGCCGCACACCGCAGGCCGACCCCGAGACCTGCGGGGCGCCGGCGCGACTCCCGGCCCGGCGCCTGCCCAGTCCCAGCAGAGAAGGTGGCTCTGAGGTCCCCCTTCCTGGGACGGAGGCGGTGCTGGGGGCCCTGGCAGAGCCGGGCTGCAGGCTCTGTGAGGCAGGTGCCAGGCCCTAGGGCAGGCTTCGAGGAGGGGGCAAAGTGTTCCCAGGGTTGGCACGGTTCTGTCCAGCAAGTCTATTATATAATAATCACCATCTATCAGTAAGCCAGGCAGCTGGAGTGAGTGGGGAAGCCAAGATGCCCAGATCCGCTCCTCCTCCAGAGCCCGGGCAGGAGTCTCCACTAGGATGGGGGTGTAGGCGCAGCAGTGAAATGATGTGGGGGGTAGAGGGGTAAGTGAGGGGCGCTGGGCAGTCCGACTGCGGTCTCGCACGCCCCGCCCCCAGAAAGTTAACTGACAGTGCCCTGAGCCAATGATTGAAGTCACTGTGGGGCTCCAGGTTAACCCCTTCCTGGGTCCCCGCTGCTTTAGGGGCTAGAATCCCTTCCCCGGAACTCTCGGGCCAGAACCGCTCCTACCTTCGCTGGCTAATGCACGAGCTGGTGAAGACCACCAGCAGGAAGATCCGTTCGTCCTAGTCGCCGCAGAAACAGGAAGATGCCATGATCTAGGGGGAAAGGCACCCTAGGGCTGCCCCCCACCCGGCCCCGAAATAAATCGCATTACAAGACGCGATTGCGTGCACGTACTGTTTCCAGAAAAAGCCACGAGCGGCGCGGGCACAGCCACAGTGAGACACAAACAGCCATCTCCACACATTCATACCCATGCCGGCACTTCCACCAACAAACGCCGCCCCGACACCCGCTGACACACCTGTGACAACCCTCTGACACAGTGACACACAGATACACGGACACACACGGTGCTTCCCCGACTTTGCCAGTAGAGGGAGCTGCTCGATTCCCGCAAAGGGTCGCTCGCCTCTCTCATGTCCTCCGCTCTCTCTACAGGGTTCCACCCAGAACTCGTGGCTGCCCAGACTCGGGCTCGGCATCCAGACCTGGAACCTCCGCTGGAGGAATGAGTCACAACCCCGCCCAGGGGAGCGCGCCTCAGGGCTGCTCCACAGGACATACCGAACACTCCTGAACTTTACAGTGGGACACATTCCCAATCCTTCGCAACCCAGCTACCACTCACCCCTATAGACATTGCTTCCTGGACCTACTACTAATGGGGCTTGTGCCAAAGGGATCGTGTGCCTTGACATCTACGTGTCTGACCCACCTAAATGGAGTGGACCCTTCTAACGAACACCCTCCGAGGGTGCCTTCTGCCTTGTGGCCCATTCTATCCGTTGGACCCTGGAGAGAGAAGAAATCAAGCCCTGTTTCCATGGGTCCTAGCACTATCCTTTCATGACAGAGTTCATCCTCTTTGGGCTTCTGTTTCCTTCCCTTTAACTCAAGATAAAACCTATTTCATAGAATTGTGATGATTCTAACCTCACAGGGGGCTTGGCCCAGAAGTTAGCAGGAACCGTACTTGGGGAAGTTTTGTTGACTGGATTAAAGCTCGCTCAAGACGACCTGCATGAAGTGCTTTGGAAACTGCGATGTGTCTGGCACACACAAGGGTTACAGTGCTACCATCTTTCTGTGATGTTACTGTCCCTCTTGCCCTGTGTCCAGTTCCTGGCCTCATCAACCCAAGTCAGCATTGACTGAAGTCCTACCAACACAGCCAGCTGTTGATCAGTCCTGGGAGAACACAGAGGACAGAGGCATGGGCTGGCCCTCAGAAATCTTTGGGGGTTCATCAGATGCACACACAGGAGAAACAAGACAAAACATGTAAGCACGTGTGGAGGTGGTTGTACATAGTGATAAATGCTCAGAAGACAGACAGACACCAGGCTGGGGAGCTGCCTGGAGACTGTCTGAGATGAGGGTACAGGAAACAAGCAGTCCTTCCTTTCTGATGTAGTCAGTGCTTGTCACTTGTAACACAGAAGGGATGGGGCTGGCCGAGATCAAATTGTAGCATTTTAGCCATGTAACCCGAGTATAGCTTAGGTAATGCAAGCCTCAGTTTCCTCACCTGTACAAGGAGACCGTAACAGCTTTTGTGGGTTTGTGGAAGACATTGAAATAACACACGAGATGCTTTTGAAAAACTACAATTATTTTTTACAATTTATTTTTCAATGCATCTGCTGCCTATAGAGCTGTGTGTGTGTGTGTGTGTGTGTGTGTGTGTGTAGCTTTTGAGGTTAGGAGAGAGTTCTTTTGAGGAGACAAAGGTTTCACTTCCATAAATATTTTTTAGCACTCCCTGGAGCTGCTGAGGATTCAGATGAAAAAAATTCTGTCTGTGTCCTGAAGGACCTCATGGTCTACTAGGAGGAGAAGATGAATAAGAGATGTTCAGTGCATAATGGATGTGGGTGGTTACAATGAAGGGGGGACCCAGCGCGGTGTGCGCGGGTGTGTGTGTGTGTGTGTGTGTGTGTGTGTGTATGTGTGTGAGACTCCCACTCCTTCCAATCCCTGCAGATAGGAGGGTAGGTTTGTCAGACTTCTCTAGCGTGTGATGCTGCTGGCGCATCTCCTCCCTAGTGCTCAGGAATGGGGAAGAGAGCAGGATAGAAGCTCCCCTCCCCGCCCCCGGGCCAACCTGCCTCCCACCGGCCGGTCGGGCGCCTTACCGAGTCAGACCACTGGGAGGCTGGGGGAGCCGGGTTGGGCGAGGAGTCGAGCGAGATGGGGGAGCTCTTATTTTGACAGGGGCCTCTCCGGGCTCTGGTATGAAGGCAGAAGGAGGCAGCCAGAGAGCCCCGATGCTTATTCAGGCTGGGGAGAAGAGCCGAGTGGAGGGGCGCGCGAGGCTCCGGCAGCGCAGGGGAGCCCGGGGAGGCGGCGGCGCGCGGCGGAGCCAGTGGCCGGACATGCCCCGGACCCGGGGCCGCTGCACCACCGCCGCCGCCCGGAGCCAGCCGGCCGGACGCCAGCACGCCTGGGTCCCCCGGCGCCGCGCCGCGCGGGGGCTGCGACCCGGACCCTCGGCGTCCGAGCGACAATAAGCGCCCAACAGCCCCCTCCCGCCCCGCGCCCGCCGTCCCCGCGGGCCTCGGGGAAAGTGAAAGGAGGAGGCGAAGGAAGGAAGGAAGGAAGGGAGGAGGAGCGGGAGCCCGAGCCGTGCGGTCCGGGGCCGAGACCCCAGCCCCGAGCCCCGGCCTCGCGGGGTGCGCGCGCTCTCCCGCCGCGGCCCGGCGCCCACGACCATGCTCCACTGTGGGGAGGCAGGAACCCAGGCGCCCAGCAATCCCCGGATACCCTCTCCCGGGCCGGGCTGGTGTTGAGATCAAGGCTTCCAGGATCAAAAGATCACCGCCCGCCCGCCCTCTCCGCACCTCCAGCTGAAGAGCAGGAGGACCCCAACCCACCCACCGACCCCGACCTGGTCATGGCGTCCAGCTCCGGCCTGGCGTGAGGACCCCCGACCCGCGCGAGGTGAGGGGTGGGCTGGGGGCGAGGGCGAAAGTCATGTCAGGCCAGCAGGAGCTCGAAAAGGGAGATCCAGTTTGAATTGGGGAGGGGAAACACGGTCTGATTGTCTCTTGCCCTCTGGCATGTACCCCAGGCTGTTTAAGGGGCGGGGGGTGCCCGCAGGGTCAGTGGAGGCTACGCCTAGGTTCTCAGTCTGGTTGGCAGCCACAGAGCACGGGCAGAAGGGTTTAGGGGCAGCCAGGGGACCCTGCCACCCCAGCGCAGAGAACAAGGCCGGCCTTGGGCCAGCTGGAGCAGCGAACCCTGCCCTGGGGGCTTCTGGGAGATGTAGTCCCCCTCCTAGGCTCACCCGAACAGTGGGTGCCAGTACCCCAGCACTCCTTCCTCGGCTGGTAGGATCTCCAGAAGGAGGTGGATAGGGACAGGGGAGAGCTGGGTTCACCCTCTGCCCGCAGGCGCTGCTTTTGAGCAGTAGGAGTGTGAGTGGAGGAGCCTCCCCCGCCAAGGATTCTGAGTGTTGTGGGCTTGGCTGGGGGTGGGGCAGCCACACAGTTCCTCGGAGGTGTCCCCGCAGGAGGGGAGGTGGTCCCTGTCTTGGTCCAGAGAAGCCCTTGTGGGAAGTATGTGAGGGAGAGAAGTGAGACTCAGGCCTCCCTCTGCCCCGGGTATGTACTACCCCGGGGCTGCTGGAATTTGGTTTCAGAAGAGATGGAAGTCTGTTCTTCCCTTCTCCCTGTTGGGGGCCAAGAAGGAGAATATCCCTAAAAGTCTGGGAGCCTGGAGGGTGTCTCTTGAGTAGTGAAATCAGTATCAGCTTCTGTCTGTCTGTCCGGCTTCCTTCCTTCCGGGTTTTTCTGACACCCCCTGCCTCCCCCCTCCTCCTGTCTGTCTGCTGCTTGGGGTGTGTGTCTGTGTCCCCTGGGGGAGGAGGGCTGTGCTGCAGGAGGAAAAGTGTTGTTCTGAAAGAGGTGAGCTGGGCCCTTCACTGAGCCCTGGGAAAGGAGCTCCACTGCTCCCTCGATCTTTTGCCCGCCCTTCCTTCCTCTCAGCTTTGGGTACTGCCTTACCTGGGAGAGCTGTCCGTACTATCTATAGCCAAGGTGCCTCTGAGCAGCTTTTCTGAAGGAGACCTGGTGGGGGTGGGGAGAGTGTCATTCTCCCCCTCTTCTTAGCCTCTCCAGGGAGCAGCTACTTCCTGGGCCAGGGGTTCCTCTACTGCTCCCTAGCACAGGGTTGGCTGCCTTCTGTGGGCCAGGACCATGATTTCATGGCCCCAGGGGATGAGCATGCTCAGGCCCTGTCTTCCTGGTGTCAGCTCTGGGCCTCTCCTGACAGAAGCCTCAGGACTAGGGGAAAGTGGAAGGTGAGGGGCAGGAAGGGAGGCCGGGATCTGGTACCAGGAAGAAAGCACCGCCCCCCACCCCCATCTGCCTTCTTGGCTTCAGAAGATCAGGCTGGGAAGGCCAGTGTCCTGTCTATCTCCCTCTAGGGGTTTCTCTGCTAACTGTGCTGCTCTTCACTGAGGTGAGCTGGGGTTCATGCCGGGAGGGGTGGGGGTAGAATATCATCTTGCATCCAGAGTGACTGTTGTATCCCAGGGTAGCAGGATCTCTGTAGCTGGAGATGGGTTCTGGAGGCTCAGAAAGAGTCTCTCCCAGAGTGGAGAGTCCAGGGAGGGCGCGGATTATTATGGGGTCCTAGAGAAGGATGGTCGAGCCGCAGAGACCTGGGGCTAGCCTTTCATTGGTAATGTGGGACCTGGTGAACTTGCTTGTTGAAGATGCATTGGGTACCCATGACTCCACTTTGGATTTCTGGTACACGGCTTAGGCAAGATCCTAGGCTGGGGGCGAACTTCTTTAACAAGGCAGGGCAGTCGCCTTCTGGGCAGAGGCCTAGCGGGTGGCAGTGTCGACTCAGCAAGGGCTGGAATGCCTGGCACCTGCTTTAGATTAAAGGAGATGCTGTGCAAAGGGGGGCTGCCTGTCTGTGCGGGGACCCATGGCTGGGATGGAGCTCCAGGGAGCCCAGGAGCATGGTGAGAGGAAGGCACTAGGGTTGTGAGTGGCAGCAGCTCTGGCAAGACTGGAGGGAACCGAGTCACCCAGACCTGCAGCCTCTCCTCCCGGAGCCTAAGAGGAGAGCTGGGGGCGCCTCCATACTGCCTCTGGCGCCAGCACCGCAGGCTGAAGTTCTGTCCCAGTGCCTTAGGGCAGCTCCAGGGAGCCAGGGTGTCTGTGTCCAGTTTTCCCAGGATCAAAAGAGGCCCGCAAGGGGGTGGGAGCCCTGTGGAGCTCCTGCTGCCCTGATGTAGCAATTGTTCTTTCTGGGCCTGTTTGGTGTCAGATAGTGAGGTACCTCAAGAGCCTGGGCACCCAAGGGTGACAGGGAAATGACATCCTTTGCTTCCTTGTAGCAGAGCCCAGGGCACTGTCCAGGTGTTGACCCAGGGGGGAGGGGACAGAGGGGGCATGGCACCGTGGGAAAGTGGGCAGCCGTGGGAGCGAAGCGGGTACAGGCTGGGTGCCGTGGGCAGGGAGCCTCTGCCAAGTCCGCTCTCTCCCTGGGGTGGGGCCGCTGTTCCAGGGACTGGCTCAACCTGTTGAGCACCTGGCTGCTAGCTTGGCATTTGTGCCCCTGCCTCCCAGCCCCAACAGCTGCCCACCAGAGCCACACTGGGTGGGGGGCTTTACTCCCAGGGCTCTGGGGAAGGGGGCTCAGATTGGCCTGAAGGATCGGGTGGGGGCTCCTGCCAGGGCTCAAGATCGCTTCTCTAGAGCCCTAAGTTTCCCAAGTCCCGTCCTTGAATTCCCAGAGCTACAGATGGACGGCTGGGTGACCAGGGCCAGGATCTGAGGGACTAGGCCACATCCCTGGAGCTCCGAGAGGCTGCGTATCACTTGGATGGGCAGCCCTGAAGGCAGCCTGGTGTCTCCTCTGCTGGGTGCCAGGGCCGGCCTCTAGAGCCCCACCTCTAGCCTGGCCTGACCTCCCCTCCCACCCCTCCCTGGGTTCGCTCTTGGCCATCCTTGGCGGGTGGGGGTGGGGAGTGAGGGCATTCCAGCCGCTGTGGGAGGGGTGATTTCCTGGGTGTAGGGGTACGTTGTGTGTATTGCCTCAGTTACCCCGAGGGTCCTCCTCCTCCTGGAGGGGAGACAAACACGGGATTCTGGGAGTTTGCTCACTCACTCCATCCGGAGTGTGGGGAGTCCGGGAAGACCCCAGACTCTGCAGGGTTTTGCTGTCTCCCACCCCTCTGATCCCTTAGTTTGGGGTTGTGCTAGTTGGCAGGGAAGCAGAGCCAGGGCGGTACTCTGAGGGGAGAAGGGGCTCACTACTGCCTGTAAGTGGGGAAGGGGCACAGGGAGGTTCGCCTTACTCAGAGCTGAGGGGAGGTGGCAGCCTTCTCCTGCCTCCTCACTTTCCCTGTCAGGGGCAAAAGCCAAAGCCTGTCCTTCCAGAAGCCCTGCCTACTTGGCCCTGGGCTGGCTGCCCCTCCTAAGCCTGGCACATCTTTCTGGGCCCCTTTCCCCACAGGCTGGGACTCCCTCTGTCAGTCCCTCTTCCTGCCATGGGCTGGTTGCTCTGGCCTGGCCTGTCCCTCCCCCACCCCCAACTGGGAATGGCCCTGAATCCAGCATTTCCAGCATTTCGAAACCAGGATTGTTTTGAAATCTCTGAGAGCTTCTCCACCCCCTCCAGCTCCCCTCCCCACTAGGAGAGGGACATTGTCCTCTCATCTGACTTCACACTGTGCACTTGGAGGCGGTGTGTTTGAGTTTGTGTTATAGCACATGGCCAGGTACTACACGTTTGCATGTGTGTGTGGGGGTGTCCCCGAGTGAGTGTACACTTCGGGTGGTGGTTTTGTGTGACTGGCTGATGTGGACATTCCCAGGCTCTCCTGGGCTGTCTCTCAATATGCAAGGATCTAGGGGTCTTAGGGGCCACTGCTTGGAGTTGGGAGTCCTTTGTGGAAGTACCTTGAGTGTGTGTCTGTCACAGCCACACGTGGTGGGGTATCTCTGCGGAGTGTGCGGGGGGTGTGTCTCTGATGTGTGCGTGTGCGTATGCGCGTGTACACGTGTGCGCTTTGTGTCTCTCCCCGCCTCCTTCTGCTCCCTGGGAACATATCTGGGGTGTGTAGTCACAGGTCTCCCGCGGCCTGGGACGAGGAGTCCTCTGCTCTTTGATAGAGAGGTTTCCTGGAGCAGGGCCGAGGCTTCTGGCAGCTCTGTGGTCCTTGGAGAGAGTGGCAGAGTGGGGACACTTTGGGATAAACTGTCCTGAGGGTGGGGGTGGGGTGGGCCCTCCCCTGCGCCTCTCACCGTGAATGCTCAGCGCTGTGAGGGGTCCTGCACCACCAGCCCACCTTCTAGTCCTGAGGATGGAGTGAGTGGTGGCTGTTAAGGGAAGTTCAGTGTTCTCGAGGAATGGGCTGGGGGAAAGGAAAGGCACTCCTCCATCCCTGGGGTCACTTGCCTCACTGGGGATAAGGAACAGCCAGTCATACCGCATCTGGGTGCTTGGTGACAAATTGAAGGTTCAGAAAAGTTGGCTTCTTTGGCTAGGGGTGAACAGCAGAACAGGACACACAACATTTTCTGTGCTAGGAGAAGACAGAGAAGGGCCTGGAGTTTATGCGTTTGGGGTGGGGCCAGCTGCCACTGTAGCCTTGATCCAGGGAAGTCCTTTGTGAGGTTTAATCTCACTCCTTCCCTACTGCAGTCAGATGGTATTCTGTGGGAGGATAGGTTCCAAGTGTTTTGTTTTTTGTTTCTTGGTCAAGGTGAGGGTAGTGACTGTGGACTTGAGTTGGTTTGGGATTCAGGCACTGGAAGCGCTGATACTGTGGCATGACTCAGTTTCCCTTCCTGGGATCTCAGACTATAATCGAATGCTTTCCTCTAGGAGTACATGTGGCAAGACCCGGAGAAAGAAGAGGGCTGGGTCAGGGGCTGTGGTCTGAGTGGAGAGCTGCAGACAGCAGCAGGAGGTGGACATGAGGATAGACTGTCCCTTTTACACCTCCCCACCGGCGGCCTCTGGTCTCGCCAGGCACAGTGGGAAGAAGGGAGGGCTGGAGGCACAGGTTGGTACAGCGCTCAGTGACCCAGCAGGGGGAGGGCCTTGGCAAGGAGTTTTCAGTTTGTTTCTCAATCTCGGTCTCTGAGACACGTACACACACGTCACTGCAGACACCTTCAGGAGATGAGCCCTGAAAAGTCACCAGGTGGTAGTAGGGCAGGGTGGTGCCAGATGGGACCCAGTGGAGCCAGCTGAATTCTGGTGGGTGCCCTGTACCACCCACCTCCTAGCTTTGGAAGCAGAGCTCAGTCAGCAGACCCCTCCCAAAAACCCTGTTCCGAGCTTGGGAGCAGCACAGGCTAGAGAGGGTTAAGTCTGGTTGGCAGGGACACCCCCCCCCAGTGCAGTGAGAGGGAGGGGTGGTTAGCAG